ATTCTATGTAATAAAAATGATTGATTTTGATATTTTTTATTATTATAATTTTATTTAGACAATGATTTTCTATATTAAACAGTTAAAATAAATTATATAATATAATATGTATATATATAATTATAATATTAGTATATATTTTACTATTAAAGTTGTAGAAACGAAGACTAAAATATAGTGTTGAAACGTCAATCGTACGATTGCATCATACTTTACTACTCGCCCGATACGCCAACTTCGCAGTTTCTAAGACACTGTTATTTCTATAACGATCACCAATACACAACACTGTGATTCTCCAAAAAGATAATTTTATCTCACGGAGGGTGTTAAGATGAGTCATGCTTTCTGTTTCAGTGCGCCAATAAGCCGCGCGTTCGCATCTACCTCGTGAAGGCTGGTTATCGTGTATAGAGAGAGAAAGCTTTTTCCTCCAAGGATTGGCGCTGATACGACTCTATCAACAACGGCGGTGATCGGCGTTGGGGTGCAGCCGTTATCATCCGGCTCATAGCACAGTGCCACCCCAAAACGGGAGGGGTGGTTCGCCACTTCGTGTCGCGGCGATGGTAGCAGCTGCCTCCGCTACGGCCACCGCCACTGCCAGCGTGGTGGCCATGCAGGACCGCCAGGATATCCCCGCGCAATTCAATCAAGTAAATGTTTGACGAGCTCTCATGACGTTATCAATGACGCGACTAGGGAGAATCCTGATTCATACGTTACATAGAGCGTTTATATCATCTAGAGTATAGTAAGGTAACACGAATTGATGAAATCGATACATCATTTCTTACAAATGTTTCCATTGCCGTTTTTTTTAAGTAAAATCAAGAGAAACATAATGTATGGAGAAAAATTTATATTTTATCCTGATACTTTACTTAAAAAAAAAAAAAAAACCAAGGAAAAAAGCAATGTTAGACATTTCTTTTTATTCTGATGCAATCTTGTTATTATGGTGGCTAATTTTTGTTTTTTACAATATTTTGCAAGAAGAAGAGCACTATAATTTATGAATTATAAGTATTTATTATAAGTACTCAGCTTTTTTGTTTCAAGGATTCGGTAACATGCTAAACAGATGAATTTTTAACTATAGTTTCCATTGTGATTTATTAAGTTATTATTCATTAAAAAAGAGGTTATTTGTAAGAAAATTAATTTCTTATAATTACGTAACAAAATGTTTTGTTACTTTAGCATCTGTACACTTCGCGACATTTTGCACCTTTCGCGTGAGGTGATTTTCATTTCGTTTAGAACTTTGATGAACTTGTAATTAAAAATGTGTCGATTGTTATTACTAGATGCAGAGCCAACACGGAATGCCCCCCCAACCGTACAACTTGGGGTACGGCCAAAGAGGACCAATGGCAGGAATGGGGCCAGTCGCGATGAACAACTTTAACGGCATGGGCACGATGAGCCCGATGCACACTATGAATTCCATGAATTCGATGAACAGTATGAGTGGCATGAACTCGATGAATCCTATGACGATGGGAGGCATGAACGGTATGAATAGTATGAATGCTATGAACGCAATGACACCCATGAACTCCATGAGCAACATGGGTAACATGGCTATGAACAACATGATGGGACCCAACAACATGCAAATGAACAAGCTGCAGGTATGTCTAGACAATCTAAATGTATTTAACTGCATTTTTTTTGTGTTCTACCGTATGATTCGCTAAAAGACAATAACTCATGAGTTAGGTTTCTCTACTTTTATATACCTCTGGTTATATGAAGCATCACTTACTATTGGAATATTTTGTATAAATATTTTGTATCGTTATTTTCCATACTTAAATTATTTTTAACTTGTGTCAAAGCAGTTCGGTTGAAAAAAAGGCGCGTTTGTTTGCTCCTCTGGATAATATAGACTTTCGTGCTTTTAGGGTCAGCCACATCAAGGCTATCCGCGAAGACTAGCGCCCTATCCGAACCCGACCATGCACATGGCACAAAAGCGGCAACAGGTTCCGTACCCGAATCAGAATCCAGCGGCTATGCAGCAGGGCTTCAACGGAATGACAGCGTCGCAATACCCGACCAACTATCCTACTGCTGTGAGACCGAACTTTCAGCAGCAGTATCAGCCTATGCAAAACATGCATCCCACGGCGGCCGGTTTCGGGCCCGGCGCAATGATACGAGCGACGAATATGAGACAAACAGCGCCGGCTTACAATACCGCGTCTCAGACGGCCGCCGCGAACCAATATAGCTACGGCAATAACGGTGTTTGCATGGTCCCACCCACCTCCGTCGGCAATCAGTTCGTCGGTCATCAACCGAACACGGGATACGGCGGCGGTAACGCGTCGTACGGCGCGTCCACCGTAGCGACCAGTCAATATCAGCAGGATGTAGCGTCAATGAGATCGACGAATGGGGGCAATGTGAACTATCAGCACAGTCCCATTCCCGGTAATCCGACGCCTCCGTTAACACCTGCCACTAGCATGCCGCCTTACATCAGTCCAAATCCGGATATCAAGCCTAATTTCAATGAAATAAAGTCGCCGGTCAGCATTCAAAATAGTGAGTATATATTTAGAGTTATATTTACTTTTTTTACTTTGACAAATTATATTATATACATACAAATGCTACCGTTTATTCCAGATGATGAATTGAGACTAACATTCCCCGTGAGAGATGGCATTATTCTTCCGCCCTTCCGTCTAGAGCACAATTTGGCTGTTAGCAATCACGTATTTCAACTGAAGCCCACGGTACATCAAACACTCGCGTGGCGGTCGGATCTTGAGCTGCAGCTCAAATGTTTCCACCATGAGGACAGGCTAATGAACACCAATTGGCCGGCGAGTGTGCAAGTTTCCGTTAATGCGACTCCTCTCGTGATCGATCGCGGGGAGAATAAGACTTCCCACAAGCCCCTCTACTTGAAAGACGTCTGTCAGCCAGGAAGGAACACAATACAGATTACCGTATCCGCATGCTGTTGTGTAAGTTCGAGGACATCAATAATTAAAAAATTTTTGCCGTTTACATAATTTCGGAAATACAGAGATATTCTCTCGACATGTTCGGGAACGTTTTCGCTTTATATAAATAGTCATCTAATGTGCTTAATCAAATATATTATCTGTGAAAAAATATACATTATTTATCTGGTACCCGGACATAAAATATTTATTTTTATTTTTTTTTTAAGTTTTTTTTATTTTTTTCCTTCCTGTTGATGTATGTAGATGAATGACCATTTACAGTCGCATCTATTCGTACTCCAACTGGTTCATCGGCCCAGTGTACGAAGTGTATTACATGGATTACTACGTAAAAGGCTCTTGACGGCAGAGCATTGTGTAACAAAAATCAAAAGAAATTTCAATAATACATTGACGAACAATGGTATACAGTCGGAGAAAGATGTAGTGGAACAAACAGCACTAAAGGTAAAATTTACAAAGACATTTTGCAGTTTTTGTTTGATTCCGAAATTTTAATGCAATATATTATGATTTAAGAGAAAAGAGTCATGCGTATCTTGTTATTTTTAGGTACCTTTAAAATGTCCTATCACTTTCAAACGCATTACACTGCCAGCTAGAGGACACGAGTGCAAGCATATACAGTGTTTTGATTTGGAATCATATTTGCAATTAAACTGTGAACGAGGTAGCTGGAGATGTCCAGTATGCACGTAAGTATGACTAAATTGCTGAGAATTCTGACGGAAAAAATGAACACAAATAAATTATTACATGTTTTTTACAGGAAACCTGCGCAGCTAGAAGGCTTAGAAGTTGATCAATATATGTGGAGCATTTTGAATACATTAAATGCCACGGAAGTTGATGAGGTAACGATAGACTCGCTCGCTAATTGGAAACCCGCGAAGAACTTAACTGGTATTAAGTCCGAGGAAGAGAACGATTGTAAAAGAACGACCAAGGCTATGTCGCCGGGCAGTATGAATATGCCCACTATGAACAATTGGGACATGAATCAAGCTATGAGTCCTTATATACCGCCCGATATGAACAGTATTGTAAGCGGCTCGATGATAAACAATGCATCTTCCACATATGCGAATAATAGCATAAACCACCGGAACACGTCGGGTGGAACATATGAGATAAACTCTGGGACAAATACTATCGGCAATAATGATTATGTCAGTGGAGCTGGTCCACTGTCGCACTTAAATGAATCCGTTAACTCTTTAGATCCTCTCAATGCTATGGAGAAGTCACTCAACGATCAGGTATGTTTCGCTGCAATATATCGATTGTATTCTAACTATAATAGTGATATAGACGCAAAGAAATGATGGCAAAATTCGACAATGTTAAATGTGTGTATGTGTGACGTTTGTTATATATATGTGTATTACAGATGCCGCATACCCCACATACGCCGCACACTCCGCAATCTACCCCTCATACGCCGGCTGGTGGAGCCAGCGGTCCGCCGAGCGTTCCACCTGCATCGCAAGAATCTACGGGAAATCATAACACCTCCGGCAATACGAATATAAATAATGACAGCGCGACCGACATACCATCGGATTTGAATTTCGATCCCGCTGCAGTTATAGACGGGGAAGGTACCGGTCAAGAAGCATTAAATGTAAGTATATTGCATCGTGTCAAATAACTGCATCATGTCTGTTGCGGTAAACTGAAATATTTCTTAAATCTGATTATAGGGCTTATTAAAAAATTCATTTAACAACGTGTTGTCTCTTGTTATAGCTCTTGCCAGACAATGTGGACGCAATGGAACTGCTCTCGTATCTAGATCCACCGGATCTAAACACTCCGCCTAGTAGTGGCGCCAGCAGCGGTAACCCTTCGTCCAGCGATGACATATTGGCACTCTTTGAATAAGAAGAAAAAGAAGAGAAATAAGAGGCGAGTGGATATCTTGTAAAGATGTAATCAAACTATGACCCCCACTTTGTAATAATGTGAGAGGGATGATGAGAGAGTTGGCATCTCATTGCAAATTCTGGCTATTTTTGTGCAAATTTGTCAAGGTTCTATGAGCTCAAACGAGTTGCGCAAAATACCCAATTTCTGACTCTCTGATACGAGAAAAGACTACTCGAAAGTCTATTAGATGCGAGCATTTGCGATGAAGAAATTTAAATTTTATCGGGGTCACTAGGTGCTCTCACCTAATCAATGGTACAAATAATATTAGTTATAATTATAATATTCCTATTGAAGCTAAGGTTAAAGTGCTAGGATTAAAGAAACGATTTTTAACAATAACACGGTAAACACCATACTAGTACTTGCGATAAAGATATTATTGCATAAACAGCACTTTATTCTTTCTGCATCCATATTATATTAAATTACGAAAAGTATTAGCGAATTTCGGTTGGATGCTAGTACGCACTGATGCATATAAAGATTATTGTACACAAATTTATAATGGCATAATAATTAAAAAAGTAAAATTATTAATATGAAGAGCTATTGTTATTGCTCTTCAATATTATTAATGATAACTCATACATTAATATTAATTATCTTAATGTTTTCATTAATTATGCTTATATTGTAAATTTTTTACAATAATCTGTAATGCATTGGTGCATCCAACCGAATTCGCTATAAGTCTTTAAATGTGTTTAATAACAAACCAAGAAGATATTCTAAGAATGATTTTGAAATTGCATTTTAAATTACTAGTATTATAGCAAAATATTCTCTCAGATTATGTTACAAGCCATTATGAAGGATGATAATGATCGATAGAAAATGTTTATTAAAAATTCATTAATATTTTGAGTTTACTTTAAGATGCATTTTTCTACATATAGATAGTATGTTAACTATTGTTTATTAACTATTTAATAGAAAGAAGACTTTTAGTTTGAATCGTTTCGAATATTTACTTGAGAGAAAAATTATGCTATGCTCATTTAAATATCGCAACTAAATTTACATTTACATTAAATTTACAAATTACGCATTTAAATTCGCTGTTCTTGCAATGAGATCTTTGTGCTCGAAAACCGGTCTATTTGCATTCAAGGTTATGATAGACCTATGTCGCAAGAGAAAGATAACTGTACAGACCTACTTTTGTAAATAATTTTAATCGAAATAAGTAAGGTATTCATCTGTTGGGAATATCTCGCCTATTGATGGATATTATGCATATAGTGTTCCTTTCCTTTAGATTGTAGTAACAGATGGAAGTGAATAAAACTAGGGGATATCGGGCTTCACACTGGAAATTTAATAACTACACACGTGATGTATCTCCCGAGATAAAAAGAAACAGATTACAGATATAAAATGCAAGATAAAACGAAAGACATGAGATTGATTTACATAGTGCTTTTCAAAGTCTAATAATCTTATTGTTTTAAAAATATCCTAACATTATATGCAGAAATGTTACATATGTTTATCTATTTAATTTTGGATCATACATTGAATATGTAAAGCGTATTATTTGAAAAATTTTGTTTACCAATAAGGATATTTTGACATCACAATTTTCTATTTTAGACAAGATTTAAAACCTTGACGAGGAGGAGGAAGGTAAGTTTTCTACGCTTTTTTAATGTTGCCAACCTCTGAAGATACATCAACATATTTTCACATATAGAATTTATTTTCACATTTTGATATGTATCGATATATGTGTATTTTGGATTGACTTTCTATAAACAGCTACATTTTTGTATGATGTATACGTGTGAACTATTTTCATTAGGTTAATATATTTTTATATGTTTTTTACAATTACACTTACTGTTATTATCGATTTGCGGAGGAAAACTGCATCGGTTATTGGCCGCTAAGTAAACTTTTCATTATATTCGTGATAAGATCTATTTTTCAGAAAATATGTCGGTTGTGAAGAGCGAAAGATTTAAATTCTGCAGAAAGTTAATAGCAATATTTACGCAAGGCCTTAAGAAATCGTGCACTATATAATCCACGTATAATCAAATCTTACATAAGGAGAGGAAGAATCAAAACTTTTCATGGGAGAAATATATTGCAGAATAATTATGTACAGGCGCGCTTAAACTTATTATTTGCACAGGACAATTATGATCGCAATTGCAATAATTCAGCATGCGAAAATAAATTCTGTATATCTTCTTACACAATCTAGCGATAAACCTGATTTGTCGTTTAATAAAAACGTATAAATCAGATATATCCGTATATATATATATGAAAAGATACTGCCAGAGTGATACCGCCCAAGGCCCCCTGCTTGTGTAGTGGTTATAAACATTGTATCTTTTGTGATTAAAAGAGAAGATATATATAATACTTAAAGAGCGCGACACGTATAGATTATACAGATTTTATATAAAGATGTATTTATATTCCAGTGTGTGCAACGCGCAAGCGCACAGTGAAGGATTATAGACACACAGTCAAGTTTCTATTCATATAACTACTATAACATTATTAAAATTTAGATTTTAATATTACTTGTATTAAGCGCGACTATTGTATATTATTTGTATATATGATAAATAGAATAATAATATAAGAAAAATGGCAGATATATACTTATTGGCCAGTTATAATATAGCAAAATAATTCTCCTAATTATTTCTCAGAGAACCAAAACATACACGAGATATATGAGAATACCTTAAACTAGGGAATGTAACGTGTAAATGGCTGATGAATGGCTGACGATAACAAGTACAGTCAAATATTGTACTGTTATTTCTAATAGAATTATTACTCTCTTACTTGATAAAAAAAAAACATAATTACCTAAAAAAGTTTATTCAAACTGTAAGCTTTACTTAGGATTGCCAAGAAAAAGTAGTATACGCAACATTGTTGCGATTGTACATAGGCAATGTTTACCTATACTTAGCTAATAATACCCCTAAAATACACAATACACTTAGTTTATGAGAGTCGTTGAGATTTATAGGTATTTCGCGAGAAATGATAACGAAAGTGAATAAATTGAACGTAACGACAGAATTTGTCAGTTATAATTGTATAATAATTTACATAACGTGATAGTTGCGTGGGGAAAAATATGTAGATGTTACTGTCAAAAAATCATATGCAATCATTGAGAGTCTATTTTAGTGTCTTGATTTTTTTTTCTTTTTTTTTCCCTTTTTTTTCATTAGCGGGCCGGCAGTTGAGATTATATGTTGCTTTTCGTGAATTTATTGCAGTAATATCTGGAATGATATATTATTGTTTAACGAAATTCCTACAAAAATCTCTCTGGCTCTAAGATTACAATATCTATTTATCTATCGTTAGGAGAGGCCTATATAATTTCATTTTACAATGCTCTGCGAACAAATTAAACGACCGTGGATTATGAGACTCTTGTCGAAGGCCTGGAAAGTTGTAATAACGAAACAAAATATTTTCATGTAAGATAATCGTATCGACTCATGGTGTATCGGCTATACCGATCGCACAAGCTCCATTATTAGATAATGTACATAAAAAGTATATATATATATATATAGTGTACACACATATATACAAACCATTGAAAATACTAATATATCTCTCGTTCTTTTATCCTGGATATCCTGTAAAAAATGGGGGTAAAGAAAAAAGGAATGATAATTATCTATTAGGTGTTGCGATATAATAGACGCACGTATCAAGCCAGATTTGAGATTTTTATTTGGTTTAAAAAATTACCAAGATGCTAATTATATAAATAGAGGATTAAATAAAGGATTATTTTAAAGATAAAATTGTAAAAAAATTTTAGGGGAAACAGTTTATTGACGACAGTAATTGAGAAAAAAAACACATGAACAATGATTTGGTATTATATAACATCGTTTTATTAGATTTAAATTGAAATCGGTTATAAATTATGGTGATGAGAGTTCGAATACTAGGACTAGGACAGATGGTTTTCGCTGCTTTGCTCTGTATACTCAATTTTATATTGCATATGGTTGTCGAAGAGAATGAACGCCGTTGCTGTGAAATTTCTGCCTTTTTCTTTTTTCCTCTCTCTTTCTCTTTCTCTCGTTTTCTCGATACATACGCGCGCGCATATATACACATACACACGCCCCAGGCGCGCTTCTCTCTTTCTCTCTTTCTCTTTCTCTCTCTCTCTCTCTCTATCGTTCTTTCACTCTCGATTTGATAAAAATAAAATTAATCGTCAAGCATTTTGCGCACATAATATAAAGACTAATTATTTGCAATTCATTTCTTCCCTTTTTTCTATTTCGTCTATATCTTGCAAATTAACAATTTACTTCACTGCGAATCTCGTGGCAGACGCGTGAAGTTGGCAGCGTTACGCAAAAAAATCGGTATTTCGCGCTCGACGATCAGTCGAGCATCGCTACTTAACGAACGCGCTTGTTCTCTCAACGTATTTCACATCTGGATTTGCACGCAATGGAACTTGGATCGCCCGACATACATCCGAGTTTATATCTCACCTTTTCGTAAGTTCAGAAACAATTCCGCTATAACACTTCTCCCCCGCGTTTATCATTTGATTTTAACAATCACTTCGATAACGATCGATCATTGTGTACACGCTGTGTCTTTTAAGAAACATAAGATATTCATATACTCGCTAAAACGAAGATTCGAAATAAAAACGGAGCGATGCTCTCGAGATGAATGACTTTTTTTTTTGTTTGACATTATATGACATGCATTTCTCTTTGTGGCACTTTTTTAATTCCGTTTTCATTCCGAAGCGATACATGAAATTTTTTTTTTTTTTTTTTTTTCATGCCAAACTTCTGTCAGCATTACGATATTGTCTCGTGACAGCTTCTCTATCGGCTGTTGACTTGTGGAAGTTTATACACGGTTTAGCATGTATGCGTAAAGCACGACAATAATCTACGCGTATAATATCCGAAGTGTCGGATGAGCTCAATCATCGCTTCACGTGAGGCGAATCACAAAAAAGCAACGCCCCACTGTCATTTTTTATCATTACTATATTATTATATCGTTTATTCGCATTTTGCATATCAACTAATAGTGAAGTTTCTCTCTTTCAGCACTTTTAGTACAATAAAAAAATTCTCGAATTAATGATATATCGAAAAGACATTTTAATGGCGTAGAGAGTCAAACATTTTCACACACGGCTGTGAACACACCCCATCGACTATTTTAAAGAAATGAACATTTTGTGGTCTCGACCTGTTCACGACTTACACGAAAGTCTCGTGATTAAAGGCGGTCCCGTCGCCTCATCAGGGCGCTCACAATATAAATCTGATAATAACTCTATCGAGATATAATGGCAGTGCGTAACAGCGCTAATCCTTTAATCTGCTAACCGGGCAGATATCTGTTAACCCTTTGCGTCGAAACGATAAATACCGTGCTGCTCGCAGTGAACACGTTCAATCTTCATCACGTTATTTCACGTCCATCGAACGTATTCATTACGTTATTATTAAAATAATTTGAGAGATATTCAAAACAATGGTTTTATTTCACATAATAAAAATGAATTATGCTGACAAAAAGACAATCATGTTGCATCAATCATGTATTTGGCATATTTAAAATATCGTGACATAGAATATCTAATAATTTTATTATGAGTGATTTGATGAGAGCAATGGCTGCTCGAATCAGTCGAAAATAACAGCAGTTTACGAGAGGTAAGTTAAATGAGCGGAAAATATCTATTGATCCATATAAAATAAATGGTAAACCCTTATCTCTGGATTATTGATTTGTAGTCTCTCAAAACAGAGATAAAGGAATTTCCTTCGGTAAAATAAAAAATTTAATTGAATAAAACTCTCTCTCGCTCTGTCTTTCTATCATTTTTTCTTCACTATATATGAATAGATTCGACGCAAAAGGAAATGTCGATTGATTATCTAAGCGAACTTTTCGCATATTCGCCTTTTTACGCCTTTTGGCGACGCGAACAGGCTAGTGTTTAATATATAACACTAATTAACTAGTGTTAAAATTCCGTAATTAACTATGGCAGTGTTTCTTAAACCGTCTCCCACCGCGGCTCGACCTCCATCGAAACATTTAGGCGTTTTCGCCATGGTCTAGAAGAAGTATTTCTAGTATTTCTATAAGTTCGAGTAACTTTTTATATACTAGATAAAAATGCATCATAGTGATAACCGTATTACAAGTCGCTCCTCCTCGCATTGCTATGCTATATAATTAGATCATTTAATTACGTGTTGCTTATATCGTGTGTGTATCGCAACACGTTTGCCATCACACGTTCTCCTAGTACCCTTTACGTCTTTACGGCGCTCGAGTTTGTATAGAAAAGTCGTACGGAGATTCGGCATAAAAAATTATCCCTCTGTGATCTCGAAAAGCTTAAGAAACACTGAGAACTACGGGACCATGTCGTATTCGTCTTCTGTGTTTTATAAAGATACAAATCGCAAGTGACTTTGCTGTGACAGATTGATGATGAATGCTAAGTAAATTGAGTTTGGTACAAAAAGAGCGGATGCGTTGAATAATATACAGTATGATCGAGTTTCGATTCGCGCACGTACTAAGACAAATGCTTTCCTAATTTGAGAAATTCGACATATCGCGGACAAGTTGCTGCTGCGAACGCTCTGTGATCGTTACATCCGTTCATTTCTCTCATAGACCAAAAAAAAAAAATCTGAGTACGATTTACTTATACTAAGTATTGAAAAAAAACAATACACATTTCTGTAGCATACACACGTTTATATATTTTCAACAATATTTGTTTATATAATAATATTAATAATATATTATCATTTTTTATGCAAACAATTTATATTGCCGTATTTTTTTGTTATTTTTTGCCGCAAATTGTTGAAAAAAAAAAAAAAAAATTAACTTACTTATGTTAAAAAAATTTTATACTCGATCGAAAACGAGTTAAACGCTCTAATTGATCGCAATAGCAACTTTTATCTCCGCGCGATCTAAAGATAATATCGATCTCGCACAAAATCGGTGTATATATATCCGTCTGTATACATATTAATATTATATATATATATGTATATATATATATATATAACATATTGCCATTATAACAATTACACAGCACAGCCAGCAACTCCATTTATTTACATTTCTCTCCATTTTTATCATCTTATTAATTGATATTATTCAACCGGTTCCCTTTTCTCGTCATTCATATATACGCTCGAGGAAGAACTACGTTATATAAATCTTTGCAGTTAACAGGTTCCTTGATTTTAACGACCACGATAAACACGCGAAGCGGATATGATATCTCGAATATGCAACAACATATTAGCCGCTAATTAATATACAATCGATCGCGTACACTCTGATCTTGTCTTGGGCTACTTTATCCTTTCATGCCTGAAACGCCACGTTGAATTTTGTCGATATCGCAAGAAATTTGTAGATTTTTATATGCCAATAATATATTGAAATGTATGAACTTATTAATGGTTCTATAATCTTTCAATGTCTGTGAATTATTATTCAGATAGTCAATAAATTACAATTAAATTTGATTCGAAAAAAATTAAGGTAGAAGTTAAATTTTAAGCAAATAAATCTAACATACATTTGCAATAATTGTTTACAAGCCGATTGACCTTTATTTAAATCGCGCATGTATGTACTTTACTGTTTGACGAAGCTATGTTTGATTCATCATTATTCCTTCTACCATTCTCCGGTTTGAAAGTTGAGCTTTCGCGTACAAGATCAATTTGTACTCGATGGTATGGTAACGTTTGCTTTGAGCAAAAGGCTGTCCACGAAAGCCGCGTAATGCC